AACACAGACAGTACAGACTTGTCCCATCAGTCATTCTAGGTACTATAGACCCTTTCCGCATTCATTTCTAAGCTCCTCACCCACTTCCAACTTCCTTTTCAGGGACTTGGTATGAGGACTCATCCTGTGTAGCTTTAACTGCAGTCATCATAGATGTGGTGTGCRTCCTGTGCATCTTTTACTGCCAATGGAAACAACCTCTCTCTGTGAATGAGTACAGTCCAGCAYATCCATTGTTTGAGCACCATGAAAAAGACCCACTGTTCATCTTTTGCTCATGGAATCTCCTCAGAGTGCTCCTGCAGTTTATTCRAGTGTTCCTCCTGCAAGGGGTTGGAGAGAGCTTGGTCTTTTGTCTTTTTCTACACTTGAATCTTACCTTTGAGTAATCTTTTCTGCTATCATAAATTCAGCAGTCATCTCTGGATCAAAACATAGAGGTGTTTTTTCTACTGCAAATTTACCAATCGGRTCATAACAATTTTTGGATATGGAATATTTTGGGTTACTCACAACACTTTCATTGGAAATTACATATCTTCTTTAAAAAAATGTAATTAAACTTAAGGAATCTAGCAGACATTAATGTCCCATTTTTTACTTAACACTCCACCTGTGTGTAATAAGAGAAAATTTTGGCCTCTCACAACAAGCAACTGAAATACTCAGCTGAACTACTGGAACTGCTTCTTAGAAAAGGAAAATGTATGATATAAGAATTATTCAGTGATGGTTTTATAGTAGGTTGCAGAAGAAAACAATGTGCTTTACACATTTAAACTTAATATCCCAGGTTGGAGTTCACCACAAGATCTTCTTTCYAAGCCCTGCTCTCATATACATTAAAATAATCATTAAATTCAGATTTATTTATTTTAAAATTTAAATTCTCAAAGTGCTACTGAATGCTGAATGGATTCTGAGAAGGAAGAAATCTCAACATTAATTCTGCTTTCCTAATACAAGAGATATGACCACTTGTGATTTAAATACATTTTCACCAAAGTATCTGTTCTAAGGTGTACATGATAAAGACAGTAGCTGGTAAGTGTATATGAAGACTCAAAAGGGAAGAAAGTGATAAAGAAAATATCTGCAATAGCAAGAGCAAATATTTCTATTCAGTCTTAAAAGTCAAAACGACTCATTCCTCAGAACATGTCTATAAACGATGAAGGGATTTTTACTACATATTTTTTCAATAATTTTCCTACGTAAATAAGGATTCACATCTTGRACAAGAGGCTGATGCCACTTTCCCTTTGTCTCCCTCCATGTGGTCAGCAGCAGGGGTCGCCTTCTTGGGAGGGAACGGTATCCCACCATTTTGTGTGCCTCCCTGCTTCTGTGGGATTCCTGATTTAGCAATTTTGTATTTAGTGATTGTTTACTTGGGGGAGGGGGGTGGGTGCCTTTTGCTGTTTTGAATGTTAATAAACTGTTATTTTTTTTCACTTATATCTGCTCATTTTTGTTCCTTATTGGTGGAAAGGGATTGGTCGAAACTAAGGAGAGGTAACTCATTCCAGAGTGTCCACCTAAGGGGAGATAACTCATTTCAGAGGGTCCACCTCTTTARACTGTCAAGACAAAACGAAAGGGAGCAAGCCCAAAACAGATGTCTTGGTATCGGTAAAGAGAAACTCCTCTGGCTAAAATCAGAGCACAAACTGAAGAAAACAAGAAGTTGCAGAAAATCTTCTGGTTTTGTTGTCCTCAGTGTCTAGTTAACATTACTGGCATAGAAAGAATCTATGAAATTTCTTAGAGTTTAAAATTGATTCACAAAACATGAAAGATTAATTGGRATTTCTAAAATTTACTTATTGTCATTTTCAATACAAAACATACTTCATACATTACATCTGTACCAAGCATATGAATTCAAGTGTCTGCAACAATCCCATATTTCAGTAAGTATTCCAAAAATATATATTTTATGCATGGCCTCTGGGATCAAGGCCAGTTGTAGCTACAAGATGGTCTACACAGCTGCTACCACATCACATAAAAATGGAGAGTGCCAAGATAAAGGGAGAGAAACAGGACCCAGCTAATACCCCTCTTTCTTTAAATAGTTTTCCATTTCAACTCCCCTCTAKTGCTCTGCAACATCTTACATCCTTCAAATAAAATCACACAATTATAGAAATCCTGAGKTGGAAGGGACCCATCAGGACCATYGAAATCCATCTCCTGACCCCACACAGAACACCCCAAGAGTCACACCATGTGCCTGAGAGCATTGTCCAAATGCTTCTTGAACACTGTCAGGCTGGTGCTGTGACCACTTCCCTGGGAAGCCYGTTCCAGTGCCCAAACACRCTTTGGGAGAAGAACATTTTCCTGATATCCAACCTAAACCWMCCCTGACACTATTTCAGGCCATAYCCTCTGGTCCTGTCACAGAGAATATATCAGTGCCTGCTCCTCCTTTTCCACTCATGAGGTGGCTTTAATTGCAGTGAGGTCTCCCCTCAGTCTCTCCAGGTTGGACAGACAAAGGGACCTCAGATATTCTTCACATGGCTACCCCCTCTAGGCCCTTCACCATCTTTGTAGCCTACAAATACATGCTGCCCTGAAACATGCGCACACAGACAGTTGTTCTCAAAGGAGAGCAAATGGCTCAGAAAAACGCATTCCAACACTGAGAATATTGTGCCAAAACATTGGAGTGAAATACTGACACAACAGGAAGAAACATCAGAACAAAGCATCAAAGTATGAAAGTGTTATATGGGGCAATGCCTCAAAGCATCCTGACCGTGACAAGCTGACAAGAAAATCTTGACTTAGAATTAATTTAAGTAAAAAAACAGTATGACAAAAGGCCAAAAAAGAAGCTGCGAGGCACAARGACTCTTAACTCTGGAAGGCCACTGAGGTCTAAAAAACGGAGAAATAAATAAAACCACTTATTTTTAGCAATGACTAAGTGAGWAGAAAACAAAATTGTTGGATGAAGAAGGGCCAGAAGTGTGTCATCAGGGCCTACAAGAAACTTCCAAAGCAAGTTATTTCAGTGTTCAGGGGAAATGAAAAGGAAAATTGAAGTTATGACAAAGTAGGCTACACACACAGGGAAGAACTCTAATTGATGTGAGTCCAGGCTGGTGCTCTTTGGATTGACAGAACCACAGCTGGCTGCCTGGTCCTGCTTTTGTCTTTCTCTTTGCTAAGATGCACAATGGAATTTAAGACTGGCATGTCTASGGATTAGTTTTGCATGAAATATCAAGACAAAAGGAAGAAGGTTTTTATTTCCTTTGGAAAATTTTCCTACTGGAGTTTCTGCATCCAATTTTACACTCAGTGCAAACAAATCCAATCTAGATGTGAGCTTCTATCCAGTAATTAATAAAAGTATATTGATGGCATTGTGTGTGTCACATCCAAGAGTAATCTATACTCAAATATAGTCAAATTCAGCTCTTTCTCATGTACAACACTCCAACACTCTAGCTGCCTGACATTTGTGGTACTAAAAAGAAAAGATCACTCTATGATGGTAAACTGGATATAACTGTCCAAGTCAGAATTTTTATGAAGCAGCAGCTGTGGTAAACACTCCTCATTTGCAGTAAAGCACTCTCAGCAACCACATGCTTTAAATGAAATTCAGCTCCTGTTGAAACAAAATTCCTTCACTACAAGATGAAGGGATGAGTTCAAAGTATTTCCAGTTGGCTCTTTACAGATCCAAATGAAGYCCAGACTGCTACTGGGCATCCAGTACCACTTTCAGAAACATCCTAAAAGGAAYTCAGAAGCAAAACTTTGAAAGACTAGCCTGGCCAAATCTCACTCCCATGTTAGACTTGATAAAAAGTGCAGTCAAAGATGATTTTACTGCAGTTCACTCACAGGAGATGCCTAAGCACCAGATAGAAATAAAACATTAAAATATCACAAGATCCAAATGCTAGATCCYGCAGATAAAATGCATTTCAGAGACAGCTGACAACAGTTATATTTGTTTAAATATTCAGACTTCAAAGCAGAATTCTAGGCACAACAGTGCCATCCAGGGGCCAGCTAATTGCTGGTAAATGTCCAAAGAATTTCCTGAAACATTTTTTTTTTTTTTTTGGTATAAACAAAACTGGGTTAGTTTAAAACAATTTCCCCACATATTTTCAAATATGACCTCAGTTCTTTTGAATAGTGCAACAAATAAACAACAACGTGAAAAAAAACCTGTGATTCATTCTCTAGACATACTAAGATTTGCTTAAGCAAATCTTTAAGCTTTAAGCTTAAAGTAAAAGTTTTGTAAAAGTTTCATTCCAATAGAAGAATATGTGTAGCAATTTAAATCAACAAGCACAGTAAACTGGCAATCATGAACAAAGTTCTGATGAAACTCTGCCAAACTTTTCAGACTGAGACATCACAACGTCCAAACCACATGCTCAGCCACACTTCACTATACCTATTTAAAATGCATGATACATATTTCAACAACCAAAGCTTCAGGAGGTAGTTTCTACACAACCCTAAATCTCACACAAATGGAAAACTCAATCTRAAAATTGTAAAACTCTTCGGAAATGAAGGCAGTTTTGTCATGGTGGGGATAGAACAGAGTCTAGAGACATGGCAGTGGTCGCAGTTTACTCCGGTCACGCGTTCCACTCAGCACCAAGAAGGGAGAGAAACAAGAACCCCAAAATATTAACAAGATTATAAACAGGGGCACAGGCCAATTCAGTTTAAGGATTTACAGCCGTACACCTCTTGAGGCTTTGGATTCAGACAGCGATCTGGCGATGCCACCATCCACGCTGCAGCTGAAAGCACAACCCCACACKGCAAAGCTCCGGCGAGGCGCCCTCTCGCCTCAGACGCCTCGGGGGCTCGGGACCCGCCTCCTGCCCACGCCTCCTGCCGTCAGCCACGAGCGAGAGACAAATTAAAAAACCAAACCTCTTTAACCCCGTGTTGAAGGAGGGTCGGGCCGGGGCGGGGCCGGGGCGGGAGCATCTCGGCGGCGCCTGCGCGCGGTTTCGCTTCGTGTGGCGGCGTGGGGATTGCTCGGAGCGGCCTGGGGACGGCGGGGCCTGCGGATCTGTGCGGCAGCCACCTGGTTCAGCACGCCATGGCTCCCGTGCTGAACCTCAACAACGAGGTGGGTGAGAAACCCGCGGCCTCGGGGCGCCGGTGGGAACGGGACTCGGGGGAGGGCTGGGGAGGCTCGGGCTGGGGCAGGCCGGGGGGAGGGCCGGGGCAGCGTGAGCGGCGGCGGATCGCCCTGAGAGCGAGCCGGTTCGGGSCCGAGCCTCTCGCCGCCGGCGCGGATGTCTGGAGCCGTGGGGAGGGCCCCATGTGGCCCCAGGTGGCTGCCGCTGTCCCTCGGCGTGGGAGAAAGCGTCCGACCGTGCTGGCTCTCGGCGAAATCGCTGCGATGAAAACAAATAYCCGTTTTGTGAAGATAAGCTGCTTCTAGTGGGGATGCCATGCGATCTCGACACGTGTGCCTCGGTGCGTCATCCTGCYCATGAGTGTCGTTTCATCACTTCTGTCTTGGTTTGCTTCTGTTCACACTACAGTTTTGCAGGTGATTCTGGCGGACCCACAAAAGACCCGGCTGCCTGTCTCCTGCATGGCAAAGATATGATGTTGCCTTATTTTCCTGGAGGTGGAGGGACTGAAAATGGAAAAATAGTCATTACAGCTAACTTTTTCCTGTTCTTCAATAAGTTTGGTGGTTTATATTTATTTCAGAATCTTTTTCCTCTCTATATTGTGAATTCGGTKAGGTGTGTTTCACTTGTGATGGGTTTTGGTTGCGCATATGCAAATCRTTGTGCACAATAAGCCTGACATAGSTAAACCAACCTCTTTTTAGGTGTTGCACCAACAGTTTAGAATAACTGGCACTTGTGCTGGGCATTTGATATCAGCACCTGCAACTTGCACTGTACACTTCCAGAGTTCCTATATAATTAACAGCTTGGTTACAATTTGTTTTCAGCAGAACAAAAATTACTTTGTTTTAGGCATGTGGTAACTTGGAGAGAGGTTGATTTGCACGTTGATTTCCTGGTCAAGAATTTAGTGAGATGTAGCCTGTTCATCAGGAAAAATGTTTGATATTACGTAAAATAGAGATATTCACTCAATAACTTTTGGTTCTTGCTCTTAAAAATTATAAGATCARAAATGAGTAATGTGACACAGAAGTATGCAGTAAATCACTGAAAAAAAAAAGAAGAGGGTATTTCAGTATTTTAGCCGGGGTTTTTTTTTTATTGATTGAAGTTTGAATGGTGTTTCATAGTCTTTCACCACAAACATACAATAAGTTTMTCTGCAAAAGATTGGAAAATTTCAGTAAGGACACTGGGAATGCCAKTTCATCTTACACTTTGAACATAATGTTTTCCTGAGAGGAAACTGAAAGTAAGTTCTTATATTTTCTAGAGGAGGTAGCTTTCTCTAGAGTTTCAACAGAAAGTAGACACTGCAATAATAAGTCCATCTGAGATGTAAGGTAGGACAGAGACTGAAATTGTGGATGCCATCTCTTCAAGAAGGACTGAAGGCACAGTGTGGCTTASAGTAGGATGGAGACCTCGCGTGAATGAATTATGAAGTGTTTTCCATTTCTATGCTGATGCCCTTTTGTCACAGCTGCATTAATTACTGTGGTAATCAGTCATAAAATGTGAAATACATTATTTRCAAATAGCTGGATATTTCCCAACTCTGTAATATATACCTTCAGTGTATTTGTTAAAGAGATGCCCTTGAAAGATTGTATTTTAAGAGTAAAAAATCCTGTCTTTGTCTAACAGAGATGAATTGGAGGAATTGGACCATGTTTAGATGAATGATTTTTGAAAATCATTCTATTAAATAAACTTTGCTTGTGTATTCTTTCAGTTTGCTAAGGCAAAGCAAATTGCAGAGCARCTGTATACTGTGACCCTTATATAGCTGATAAACTTGATTTACAGGAGTCAGGTATCTGAAGTAGGCCTACAAGAAGGCTGGAGAGGAACTTTTCTCAAAGGCATGTAGAGATAGTTCTAGAGGGAATGGGTTTAAATTGAAAGAAAGTAGATTTAGATTAGATATTAGGAAGAAATGGACTAGCATGTGCATGCCCTGTCTCTGGAGGTGTTCAAGGCCAGGCTGGATGTCCTCCAAGCAATCTGGTCCAAGGGGAGGTATCCCTGCTCAGTGCAGCAAGGTTGTAACCAGGTGGTCTTTAACGTCCCTTTCAAACCAAACCATTTCATGAAATTCTGCTGTATTATACTTACATATTTCAGGTTTTAATTCTAGCAAAGAAAGACTTGAGCTATTATTTAACATTAACTACCATGTCCTGTTAAGTGGTGGAATCTTAAGAAATTCTWGGATGATGGATTTCAAGTTTTTTCTTTACCAAATCATATTTTGTTTACAGGAAGAGCAAAAGACCAATGTTTCTCAGTGATATAAACTGGCACTTACCTTAATGTCAATTGACCTTTATTTTAATTACTTGTTGGCTTATGTTTGATATTAGTAACTAACAAAACAAATAAGTGTCAGAAAAACTTACTCGTTAATGCAGTGTCTACTACATGAAGTGTATATGTGCTTTGAAACCAGAGGACATGTATTTGGATGATTATGATTGTTATTATTAAGACAGTCCTCCAGGGAATTGAGACAAATAGTGGACTGTGATGTCTGCCTCCTTTCTGAGAGGTTTTTGAAATATTGTCCAATTTCATAGAAATTAGAAAGGAGTAGAGACCTCCAAAGTCACTGGGCTTTGATTTTTTAAAATTGTATTTTGTTTAAGGAATAGTACCTCCTTGGAGCAATATCTTCCCAACTCTTCTGATCTGATATGGAACAAAGAATGAAACTGTTGTATTTTTAGGTGACTGTATGAATGAGAGATTTGAGGTAACCATACCATGTAAAGGATCCAGGGTGAAAAGAGGACATTGCAATTGTTGTGATGAAGTGAAATAAGACAGAAAATACTAAGAAACCAATCATAATCAGTTAATAACAAATAGTTCAGACATTTCATTAATCCTCCTTTTCATTGAAAGTTCTTTATAGAAGTGTAGAAGCTCCAAGTCACACTGTTTCCAGTTAACAAGTAGGACTAGTGTCAAAAGTATATAAATATTTTCTTCCTTTTTCTCCGATTGAACATATACCTAGATAATAACAGAAAAAAGCAAAGTCTGGGTGGATCCCACAGTCAGCAAGGTCAAGTAATTTTAGGAAGCCATCTTGCTGCTGGTAAATAATGTGGTACAGTTTCAGTGTGACCATCTGACTGAAAAATTAAGATTGGAAGGGGTTAAGAAACACAATTGTATTTGTAATTCAGGCATCRTATTACTTTATGGGGTTGGTGCATTTTGATTACTGCCCAAGGAGGAATTGGGTGAAGGGGAGGGAGGGTGAATGTGAAAGAACTAAGAAACATAGAAAGTTGGAACAAAGTGAAACTGTAAAGAATAGAGTTTTGGGAAAGAAGAAAATGCTGTGTTTCTTATCATTTTCTACTCATTGCAGTCTTGGATACGCAGGAAAGCGTAAGTCAYAGAATGAAAATTTCAGTTTTGCAATTCTATATTCGCCACCTATGATTGCAGTTTTGAAGGTTTGTGTTAAGYTTAATTGTATTCTCCTGTTGTGCTTACTGTTACAAGCTTGCAGGCTGAAGGAATCATTTTAAAAACCTGCTGCTGTSTCAAATTTGTTTCCTATTTTTAAAAGCTTTCTAATTTCAGGTTTCTTGCCACAGAAGAGCTTCCAAAGTTAAACTTTTCTGGAAACATTTGCTAGATGGCAGCAGATAATCATCAACTGCCRCAGACAAGGGCAAGTTTAAAGGGACATAGCTCATATTTAATATGAAAAATTATCCTTGTTGATCAATAATATACACTAATATTAAACTGAAGCTGTTGAATGGAAGGTTTTTTCCCAGAACGTGTGCTTCTTAAATTACGTTGTTCTGTTTTTATAGCCAGTATTGTATTATTGCAACAAACACAGTTATCTTTTTACCCACCTTTTTTTGAAATTATATTCTGTTTGCAGCTACCTCAAGGAGCTATGCYGCAGCAAGCTCATGAATCTAACGCTAATGATGTCTGTGTACGTGGTTTTAAAAATAAATGTTCTAATGTGTATCTAAATGAATGCTGTAATGGCTAAAGCTGAGTGTTAATAAGACATCGTATTATGTAAAGCACATTCTTACAGTTGAGAGTTATTTCTGTCTGTGAAACATGTGAATCAAATTTTCCAARCTTGATTGAATATGGAATTTGTGTATCAGGTGAATTTTTTGCTTAAATTGCTTTACAGTTTAGACAGATGGGATGTGCCCGTGAAGGAGTGTGATTCTCCAACTGTGGTTTCACAAGCACCTGGGCTTGCTGCTTCTGAATCTGGAGCTTCTCACTCTGTTCCAGCCTTGTGGTCTTGCCTCCCTCTTCTGTGATCATATGCTAGTTTTCAACTACAGATTGACGTTGGCAGAGTCAAGGAAGTTTGARCAGCAGGAATATGGGGCTAGAGATGAGGCATGGAGGAGAGATAGAGTAATGGACTATGCCACCACAGTGAGTAAGCTGTATTGTTGGCTGATAGAGCTGTGCTGTTCTTCCTCTCACTTCAGTGTTTCTGTTTAAGCAATGGCTTTCCGTGAAACAAGCATAAGATTTGGAGAGGGTATTGAATCAGCAAAATCTAAAACAGGATGATTATATGATGTGCAGTTATGTTGTCTGGCAGGTGTTTGATACAGAAATTAAGTAGTGGTCAATGCTGTAAAAGCAGGAGAAGTGGTTCAAAGGAGAAGCCAAAGGAGCTCTTCGATTTATCTAATCTTGATAGCCTTACATAGAGTTCATAGGAGACAAGTTACAAATCTGCTTCAACGAAGAATCTTACTGTTTCACTGGTGTTCAGGTGCCTAGGATACTCCAGGGTCAAAACTAAAGCTGTGGCTGAGTACTCGCAYTGCCAAGATGTGTTTATCCCTGATTAACTTGTGATCTTAAATACTTCCTTGAAGCTGGTCATACAGTCTCTTACATATAACTAATTTTATTTATTTTTTTGGGAAATGTGAATAAGACTTGAATTCCTCAAGGGGAG